AAATAATTTAAAATGTAATTTACTTTTTCAAGATATTTTGAGAAGCACTAGTTTTTTGAATAAGTGGTGATTTTTAAGACTAAAAAAAGCTTAAAAGACCCTGAAAGAGATCTTTGACAGCAAAACAAAGAATTTTCATAAGATTTATTCTCCACAATAACTGCCAGTAACCTTAATATAGTTAACACTGATTACAAGTTTACTTTGGATGATAAATCTTTATAAACAGTCTATGGTCAATATGGTGTCAAGCAAGTGTCGCCACTTGATAGCCACTGTGAAATGCTTCTGGGCACTTACTACACCATTACTGTGGAGCATTATCGAAATGATCATTAATTCATTTTACTGGGATAAAAACTGGATGTACTGTATTTATCCTAAAACATTTGCTAACTTTGCGCCAAAAACAATTTGAAAAAGCAATTTTTGCCCCTTTATGTTTTTGCAATTTTGAATTGCCATTCTGTTCCTTTGCAGTATGTCTGCTGGTGTTTCCCAGTAGGTCTCCATTTCTAAACAACATGAAAGGAAAGGTTTCAACCTTGAATTTTTGACACTCACAACTCCAGAACTAGCACCATCTCTGAAGCCATCTCATAGACCTGGTGGAGGTTGACCACATGGGGACAGGCGCTGGCCAGTTCAAGTACTGCAATCTCATGGATGATCTCCATCCGGCAGTCCTGCCCTTTCCGTCTCTTCCTCATTATCTTAGCAGCGTACTCATGACCCGTGCACTTCTCCACACACTTTCTGACCACAGCAAATTTTCCCCTGAAAGAAAGGAAGACCATCAGAACTATATTCATAACAGCCACTGGTAGATGACAATATAACACTGACACTGCATGCTCATTGCACTGACCAATTAAAGAAACAACAACAACAAAAAAAAAGGTAAATAATTTAATGCAATTTTATTTATACACCGCCAAGGTAGGCATAAGGTACACCCTACATATAGATACATACATATAGAGAAAAACTCAATTTAATGATTCAGTGCAAATAGTGAGTGAGAAAGGTGACTGAAGAAGAAACACTCAATGCATCATGGGCAGCAGCCTACACCTATTGAAGCATAACTAAGGGAGGATTTAGGGTCACCTGATCCAGCCATAACTATATGATTTAGCACAAAGGAAAGTTTGAAGCCTAATCTTAAAAGTAGAGATAGTGTCTGTCTCCCGAATCCAAACTGGAAGCTGGTTCCAAAGAAGAGGGGCCTGAAAACTGAAGGCTCTGCTTCCCATTCTAATTTTTAATACTCTAAGAACCACATGCAAGCCTGCAGTGCGAGAGCAAAGTGCTCTAATGGGGTGATATGGTACTATGAGTTCATGAAGATAAAATGATGAATAGATGATGATATATCATCTGTTCCCAGATTCATTCCTATTTTCTATTATTGCAAGAACAGAACAAACACTGAAGGTTCTTCAAAATGTTCACAAAGAACAGCATTATTGAACTCTGTGCTGTAGGGGTAGTTACAGTTAGCCTAGAGCAAGAAGAGAAGCTGTGAAATTAAAATAAAATTGTAAGACTTGTACAGCCCTGTGCCTGAAGCAGTGGACCAAACTGCTTCATTCTCAGCTGGTGGTGCATGTGAGAGTCATGGGGCCGATGCTGCTGGGAGCTACAGATTCCAGCACTGATCCGTGCTTTCTGCCAGTGTGATGCCATGACAAAAACTTGCTACACATCAATTACCATACCGTCTTTATTTATAAAGCACTTTATGAACCCTGGTTTTAGTTTAAAGTGCTGCATATATACAAATAGCATAGACAGGAAATAAAATCAAATATGTTAAAAAAAAAATAGAGAATTATTTAAAAAAAAAAAATAGAGTCAACCTGTTTTAAGAAGAGCTTTAAAATCAGAAAGAGAAGAGGTCTGCCTAACGTGCAAGGGCAGATCCAAACCTACAACAAAATCATGATCATCTCTAAATTTACGCTTGGTTTTGGCACCTCAAGAAGCTGCTAACTGGTGGACCTAAGGGAGCAGGCAGGTGTATATGGCTGTATTAGCTTGGAGAGGTAAGAGGGGCCAGGCCATTAAGAGACTTAAAAACTAATAAAAGAACTTTTAAAAGGACCCTATAAAGTACAGGCAGCCAGTGGAGTGAAATTAAAATGGGTGTAAGTCCTCAGTTAAATGACGCATGGCAGACACCTAATGGACGCATCGCTAACCCAACAATAAAGTGCGTTACAGTAATCCAGTCTAGATGTAACAAAGGCGTTGATGACCGTCTCTTGACAAAACAGGCTTTATTTTGGCTAACTGCCTCAAATGAAAAAAGCTAGCTCTTAACAACAGCTCTGACCTGGTTTTCAAGTTTAAGATTTGCTCTGCCCAAGCAGAGAAGCCCAGACCTCCCTCACCTCAGCCACCTCCTCCAGCTTGTCCGGGGGAACACCAAGGCGTTCCCAGGCCAGCCAAGAGATATAATCTCTCCAGCGTGTCCTGGGTCTGCCCCGGGGCCTCCTCCCAGTGGGACATGCCTGGAAAACCTCACCCAGGAGGAACCCAGGAGGCATCCTTGTCAGATGCCCGAACCACCTCAACTGGCCCCTTTCGATGTGGAGGAGCAGCGGCTCTACTCTGAGCCCCTCCCAAATGGCCAAACTTCTCACCCTCTCTCTAAGGGAGAGGTCAGCCACGCTTTGGAGGAAGCCCATTTCCGCCGCTTGTATTCGAGATCTCGTTCTTTCGGTCACTACCCACAGCTCGTGACCATAGGTGAGTGTATTGGCGTAGATCGACCGGTAAATTGAGACCGGTACCGAGGGACACGGTCGAATGCCTTCTCCAAGTCCACAAAACGCATGTAGACTGGTTGGGAAAACTCCCATGCAGCCTCAAGTATCCTCGAGAGGATAAAGAGCTGATCCAGTGTTCCACGACCAGGATGAAAACCGCCTTGTTCCTCCTGTATCCGAGGTTCGACTAACGGATGGACTCTCCTCTCCAGCACCCTGGCATAGACTTTCCCATGGAGGCTGAGGAGTGTGATTCGCCTGTAGTTGGAACACACTCTCCGGTCCCCCTTCTTAAAGATGGGGACCGACACCCCGGTCTGCCAGTCCAGGGGTACTGCCCCTGATCTCCACGCAACATTGTAGGGACGTGTCAACCAAGACAGCCCTACAACATCCAGAGCCTTCAGGAACTCGGGGCGGACCTCGTCCACCCCAGGGGCTCTGCCACCAAGGAGTTGTTTAACTGCCTCAGTGGCCTCGCCCCCAGAGATCGCCGGGTGATCCCCTTCGTCCCCAGACTCTGCTTCCTCCACAGAAGACGTGCAGGTGCGATTGAGGAGGTCCTCCAACTATTCCTTCCACCGCCCGAAGATTTTCTCAGTCGAAGTCAGCAGCACTCCACCCGCAATATTCACAGTGCAGGTAGAACACCGCTTTCCCCTCCTGAGTCGCTTGACGGTTTGCCAGAATCTCTTTGAGGCAGTCCGTAAGTCTTTTTCCATGGCCTCTCCGAACTCTTCCCACACCCGAGTTTTTGCTTCAGCCACCGCCCACTGCCTCTGGAGTCCCACAGGCTAACCAAGCCTGGTAGGACTCCTTCTTCAGCTTGGTGGCTCCCTTCACCTCTGGTGTCCACCATTTGCTTCGGGGATTACCACCACGGCAGGCACCAACTATCTTGCGGTTGCAGCTCAGTGCAGCAGCTTCAGCAATGGAGATGCTGAACATGGTCCATTCTGACTCAATATCCCCAGCCTCCCTTGGAATGCTGTTGAAGCTCTGCCGGAGGTGTGAGTTGAAGATCTTGCGGACCAGGGCCTCTGCTAGGTGTTTCAAGCACACCCTCACTGTATGTTTAGGTATGCCAGGTCTATCCAGCATCCTCCCTCGCCACCTGATCCAACTCACCACCAGGTGGTGATCAGTTGACAGCTCAGCCCCCCTCTTTAACTGAGTGTCCGTTTTGGACACTCACCTACTCGACAGCGTACAAAGATCCTGCGTGATGAACTGAAGATTTCAAACTTTGATTCATCAGTCCATAATACCTTCTTCCAGTCTTCAGAAATCCAATGGCAGTGTTTCATGGCCCAGGCAAGCCTCTTTATCTTATTCTGACTTGCTGCAACTCGTCCTGTCAAACCTGCAGCTCAAAGTCTTCTCTTCACAGTTGAAACTGAGACTTGCTTACTATGACCCACTATTAAACCGCCTATCACACAAGCTGTTAACTCTCATAAACTTGCCCTCTGATTCAGATGTGGCTTTGGGTTTGCAATACCTCTTCCAGTCAGAGTGCCTTTTGATGGTGAAGGAAACTGTGCTCACTGACACCTTGACTTTGCATTTTCTCTGTAGGAAAGAGCTACATTTTTAAAGTGTTATGATACTTGGTCTCTCTTCCATTGTTAATTGCTTTTTTCTCCTTTTTGTAGCAACACACTTTCTGCAGTACAATACTGTTCAAGTGATGCTCACCAAAGTGTGTTCAAACACTGCTTTTATACAGACATGGGGTTGTAAGTAATCCAGAAAAGTTGGAACACCTGTAGGAATTAGTAGCGCCAGCTTTCAAGGCTTGATCAACCTCCATTGCTGCAGAACAGTTTTAAATTGTTAACCCATGTTGTGTTCCCTGAAAAGGCCTTTTTAATAATTCTGAAATGTACATTGTTTTTCAGTTTTGGGTAACCTTACCTTTCTTTTTTTAAACCTCTGGAAGTTCCCAACTTAAATGTGTACCACTTCAAGATATTCACTGAACTTGAACGACTTGAATTGCAATAAATAACTGGAAAAATCGGGGTGTTCTAAAACTGTACAGTGTATGTACAAGTAATCCCACATTAGCCCCATCCATTAGCTCTTCAAATCTTTAGTGTAATCTCTTCAATCAGAAGAAAACTGGCCTAAACAGAGAGGGCTTGAAATAAGGGCCCAGTAAAACATGAGTGAGGATTATATTGGAATTTGAATTCAATTCAATTTTATTTATACAGCGCCAAATCACAACAACAGTCACCTCAAGACGCTTTATATTGTAAGGTGGACCCTACAATAATAGATACAATTTGAATTTGATTTGAATCATTCAAAGTTACTCTAACAGAATTCAAAAATAAAAATACTGAGTTTTGCATTAGCATATTAGTTCTACGATGTGATTTTTTTTGGACATGCTGCATGTCAGAATCAGAGAGACTTTATTACACATAACTGTGCAATCTAAGAATTACTACCATACTACCAGGATAATGTTAGGTTACTGGGTGATTCTAAATTGGCCATGCATGACAGACATGAAGTGCACAAAATTAGAATCAAGCACTGCATAAATGTGTGGTTAAATGTGGCTTGTAGTCAAAAATGCTTTCAGTGGTCAGTAAGGCTCGAAAGGCAATATATGAACACCAGCCCATATTACTTTATGCCTGTTCTCTTGAGATAACATTGTGTTCAACTTGAAGCTGGTCTCATAATATAAGTCACTAAGATATTTTAAGAAACTAACTCCTTTAGCATGCACTCTTCTACTTCACATTTCCTTTCATTAAGCACTTTCAAAGATTTATATTAGAAAGCAAGTCAATGCCTTCCTGTTACAGTGAATGGGAAACTTCCTCAGAGCCTACACTCAGCTTTTTCTGTCCACCACACTAAGCGGTTCTGGCATTTCCTTTTTATTTTGTAAACCTTTCATCTATTCAGCTGTGCACATGAATATTGCAGTGAACAGGAAACAGACAATACTGCACCAACTGATTGACCGTGTACTAGAAAACT